ACAGTCAAGCAAGAATCACGCATAATATTAAAAAATTCCATTCCACATGAGCAACTCTCACATCAAGTCTCTGTTTGTTTCCATATGAACTAAGCAAAAATTTTTTTCAAAAAGGCCCAAAAATTTTGATTAAATTAAGAAAACGACACATGCGGTGATGTAATGTAAACGGACGAGAGCAGACAAAAGAGCCGCTCGCGGACGGTGCGCAATGACGACGTCAGCTAAAGGACAACGTTGGAATCAAGAAGACGTCACCAACCCCTACAACTGACGTCACGATAAGTGTAAAGGCGGGTCCCAGCAGAGTTTCGGGGGCGGGCATTGGTGATGACGTCATTCCGAAGAAGTAATAGTGTGCGTGTTTTCCGCTTCCACGTGGAGAATGACGTCTGCGTGACAAAAAACAAAGAGCTTTGAGCCACAGGATTGCCGGAGGACGCGTTTGTTTGAGGTCAATTTGCTCATGTCTCCGTCTATTAGATGTGAAAGTATTTAAGATTAGATTCGGCGTTGTCTCGTTTCTTTCATAGCTAACTTGGCATTTTCCGCAAACGGCCAAACCCACCACTCCATTTCTATTATACCCCTTCTTGAGGTTTCTTTTGATAGTATTGAAATGCATGTCCAAATTTTCCAACTTTACCCATTGATAATTTACTATGAACAATATCAACTTTATCATTACAGTGTAACGAATTTTCATTTTTTGAAGTTTTTATTTTTTTAATTTTTAGTACTATTTAACAATTCTGAAAACACACTGAGTTTGTTTGGATAAGAATTTATTTGGATGATTCATTTGATCCAGTTACTGTAGCACTTTTTATGATGTGATGTATGTGAGATAAAAAGGTGATTGGGATTTGTGAGAATAAATTTTGCAAACCAAATTCTCTCTATCCAAACAAACTCACTACTATTTTCAACACTAAAAAAATTTATTTTTCCACTAATTTTTGCTTAAGTATATTGATTAGGGTTCATTCAAAATTTTTCAAAGCCATGCCATATGGAATTAATTTGTTGTAAGCATGTTTAAAACTAAACACGACTTGTTATATAAAATTGTACATTTTCTCCAAAAACTGCTGAAAAGGGGATGTCCAGATGCTAAATTCATGCTGAATGATAAGGGTAAACCAAAAGTAGCTGAAATCTTTTCTTTCATCTAATTTTTCTTATTGGTTTTTTTTTAAGTGGGATTTTTTTTTATCTTATTGATTATTTGTTCTTATCTCGATGGTTTTTTTTTTTTTTTTTTTTTTTGCATCATGCTCAATGTAAAATCTATTTTATGTCATGTCAAATACACAATTGCGTGGAAGATTTGAGGGTTAATCCATGGAATAGAGAAATCCATAATGTTAATAATGGCAAATCTTTCTTGTCAATCACATCTAATGAAAGCTTCAACTTTCTCACGGAGTCTGCGATACCAATTGATTAAAGTGGATCGTAAAGTCCTTAGCAGATTTTTCCTGTTCTTAGTGCTACATTTTTCTAACAAAAATGTTTTAATAGCCTGTAATCGTTTGTTGGTAAATAATAATGCAATGTTTCTAGAACCTTTAACAAACTAGCTTGTTAGGTCATAGGTGCTTGTTTAGAGCTACCCGGTTTGGACGGCCATTTTTCATTGAAAATTTGTATCGTTTCCGCGATCACATTTTTCTATTATTTTTTTTCTCATATACATCAAATCGCTACAGTAATTTTTTTACAAAAAATTCAAGAAAATACAATAGAATAAAAAAAATCTTCATGCTTAAAAAAAAAATCTTATTGAATCTTCATGCAATATAATAAAAAAATCTTATTCAATCTTCATGCTTAACCAACAATAATTTTTTTAAATGAATAGAATAAAAAAAAAGATAGGGGATTACAATTTCTTCATCTTCTTGAGTAATCTGTCTCAAATGTCCCATTCGGTGACACATGAAAAAAATTACTTGTAGACAAGAAAAATGTTATGAGGGAAACTTGAGTGGTTAATCATTTATACCTGCAAACGAACATAGACATGAAATCTCCTTGTTGGCCCTTGCAAAATTAAAGGGGTTTTAATTTTATTAAGCATAATTGCTAGAAGACTAGAAATTTATGACCGGTGTATCAAACGAAAGCAGCCACAATCATTAACTTCCCATCGTGTTTCTCGTGCTAACTTTAGCAGCCTCAGTCAGCTGAGATTTGTGTACCACAAAATATGTTAGTGATGTTCAATCTATTTGTTTTGTTGTTTAGTGGAAATCAGTGGAAAATGTCTGAACCTATGTAACTGTGATTTGATGAATATTTCTGGAATGTTGATTTTTGGGGAGTAGATATAGACAAAATTAGTAATTGATGTTTGATTCACGATTTTCATGCTTAATTTTGTTTCGGTCTTCGAAAAGAGTGAATTATTGAAAACCAAAATGTTTAGGGTTACCATCAAATCAAGATAAAAAGTTGGAACATACGATTCTCGACGAGTATTTAATTAACAAAAAATAAAATACAAATCCCTTCAATTATCTTTTCTCAAAAATTTCTCATCTCATACTATAAACAATTGCTTTGAAAATTTTTCCTTTCCCAAGGTGACTCTCTGTGGAAAAGGATGGTGATGCGTGATACAAATTCTCATTAAGGGAGAAAAAAACTCTCGCTAGAAAAACTCTACAAGAAAAGAAATTTCTCATTAGGAAATTGAAATTTCTTTTTTTTTTTTTTTGGAGAAGACAATATTCTCACTGAAAATTTTAGAAGAGTCTTTATTACCTACAAATACACAAATAAAATATTAAGAGGAGTGGGGGAAGAGGAGAGCCTCTAAAGAAAACTAAAAATGGCTTTTTTGTTGGAAAATTAATTTTGATTTGTGTCACATCCTGTAGAAAGTGCGGCCGAGGAAAAACAGGAGGAAAATAAATCCAGGACACCTTTCAAAAAGACAAAGAGAAAATTAAAAAAAAAATCCACGACAGGCTTGACCTACAATGCAATGGAGGACCATAACTAATCATGGACCTCAAGGGTCCAGGCCTTCAACCACAGATTCCAATAGTGACTTTGACTTTGGATATTTGCTCGCTACACGCTAAAACCACCACCGACGGACCTCCTTTTTTTTTTGGGTAATAACCTATTATTATCCCTCGTCGATCGCTCGAGGAGATTTTTTTTCCTTAAATTATTTTCCTTTTCTTTAAAACTGAGGGAGCTTCCTCAAGACATATTTATGGTGTATGATTAACCACGTAATTAATAACCTTAACCACGTTTCTGCCTATTATCATCTTTTTCATTAGAGGCTTAATGATCTTAGTGCAGATGTTGAATGTGGTTGTACATTCGTCCCAAAAACTTTCCTTGTTTGGACAGTAAAGAGAAATTGCTACGTTTCCGTGAACACATTTTTTAATTACCTTTTTACCTCACATGTATCAAATTGTTATAGTAATTTTTCTACAAAAAATCCAGAAAAATGCAAACAAGTTATTTGCACTTAAAATTGTGTATTGGTGGATAATATTCTCTTTTTTCTGCCTTTTCTTTTGAGTAGTGAAATGATGTACTCGAGAAAAGGCAAACGATATTTAAATTTTTATTTTGATGACAATTCTTGTTAAAATGATGATGAAATTATCCCTTTTAGAATCCAAATTGCATTTATATGTGGAAGGACAATTTTGGCATTTAATTCAATAATGGCTGTAGAAGTAAAATTCAAACAGTCGAATTAACATCACCCTTGAGAACAGGATAAAAAGAAAAAATAATTTTCTCCTAGGGATGGCTCGAAAAGGTAAATGTTATGCAAATTCTATAATTGAGCAGTTCAAATTATTGGCATTTGTCTCATTCACATGAGGTCAAGGGAGCAATCATTCAGGCCTCTGGTCCAATCTTTGCCTCTGCATCAGTAGCAATTCACAGAAAAACATACGCATTTTTATCCCTAAACTTACGATTTTCATTTTTCTTGAAAAATAATCAAAAGTAAAACCAGAATAATTGTTGGAAAGGGGTCTGTCCATCTCTTTACTTTTGCCTTCAGTTCAATTCAAAGCTTGAAACAGCTAAATGAAATAAAATATCTAGTTCCTATCCCTTGGACCAGACGACATTTGTTGACATGTCAGTGGGTAGGATTTGAATTTGATGCTTTAAAGTTTAAATTTGATTCATTTGATTCAAATTCAAATCCATCAAATTTTATTAGACCCAAACCTTTATGAGTCTGAATAAGTAAATCCAGACTCGAACTCTGATGAATTTAAATATCTAATGAGTATTCTTTTTTAACATATAGTGAAGAACTAAAGTAAAATATTTTAAAAATATATAGAATTCAAAAATAATATAAATATCATCTAATTTTTATTTTCAAATAATAAAATTAACATCCAAGAAGTTGAATTTATAATATGATGGATTCAAAGAAAAAACTATTATCAACTACTTTTATTTATTTTCCAAACTTCATCGGCATCCACATTCAATCGATCTAAGTTATTTTTGTAAATGTACTGAATAAAATCCGACCCAATGATATTCCTAGACACCGCAAGTACACAGTCAAAGGCCATGCGCTGTTTCCTCAGAAGGCAAAAATGAAAAGAAAAATGTGGACTTGGGCGGTCCACGCTCCCGAGATTGGAAAACATTTAACATGCGCGCATGTTTATCCTTCATGGAGACAGCGTTCGTTGTAAGGTCGGAAAAAGTTCTGATTGATCATCAGCACCGTATGATGAAAGGCATGCAAATTCCGCCACATACTCGGGCTTCCTGTCCCAGCCAGCCACCGTCCAAACACGTATACTCGGGCATCCTACCCCAGCCAGCCACCGCCCAAACACACACACACACACACGTAAACAAACACTTGCTCAAGAGAAAAGTGCGGAGGACCAACAGGAGAAATGGATCTTTCTCAGTTTAGCAGGGACCAAGTGACTTGGCTCGCAAGAAAGAACGATTCAAGAGACAACTTGCATCAACTCTCAGGGGAGAAATGGACATAGTTTTCTTTTATTTTGGTCAAATGCTTTTGACAGAAGCAATTCAAGCCAAAAAAAAAGGGAAGGAAGATTTGCAAAATGTATAGCAAACTACTGAAATTGACTTGCTCACTTCACATCATCTCAAAAGAGTTCCCTTTTGTCTCTACCACCGCAAGTAACTACTCAAACTTTAAATGATTTACCAATTCTGAAGGTTTCAAGAAGAGTAGGTACCACTCATATGTCACAGTGAAAACCCTGCTGTCTTTCACATAATTTCAGAATGGGTGCTTCGATCTAAATTGGATCCCAAAACACGTTAAATTTTAAGGGTTACTTCTTCCCTGTGCTCAACTTCATGTCGTGCAGATTTAGCAAGAGATCGTCTGAGCTCAGATAGACCTTGTTGTTAGAATGAGAGAGGATGCTTGCAATTTCTCTTGCTGCTTCAATTCTCCTCAGTGAGATGAAGGCTGGATTGTTTGAGATTGCTTCACCGATCAGCTGAGCACTCTTAGCCTCACCCTGGAAGTCAAAAGAATGATAATGTTCTTCAGCAACTTTAACAATGGGCATGTATTTGTTTTAACACAAGGCCAATAAATGTGTATATTGATACTAACATAAGGCCAATGAATGTGTATATTGATACTAAACAATCTCCCCAACACCCACCTCCCAAAAGAGAGAAACAAGAAAAAGAAGCCAAAGCACCGCTTACCTGTGCTCTGATAATTGCGCTTCGCTTGTCTTGCTCAGCCTTTTCCACAACAAACTTGGCCCTCTCGGCTTCTTGTGCAGCAACCTGTTTAGCTTCAATTGCAGCTGTGAATTCTTTCCCAAAAGTCAGGCTTGTGATCGACACATCATCCAGAGCAATGTTGAACTGGGCTGCTCTTTCTGTCAAAACTTTCCGTATCTCCCTACTGACAGCCTATGGAATTTACGAAACTAAATTTGAGCTCAAAATTTTAGATGACTCCTAGTCTCCTTGCATGCAAGTGCGGTGGTACCCGAAAAAAAAAATGCTTATCAAATAATACACATTGACATGATAAATCAGTGTGCTAAACTAGAGCAAAAACTCAGAAGGAAACATTTGGATCTATGGAAGCTTTAAAGTTGTTCTGTAACTAGCCAGACACCAAATCTGGCAAATGTCACGCATTTAAACAGATGAGACCCAACTATGTACCTCTCTCTGGGTGATGAGCTGGCTAGCATTGTATTGGGCAACCACAGCTTTCAATGTTTCATGAATTATAGAAGGTAGGACTCTTTCGTTAAAATTCTCACCAAGGGTTCGATAAATAGTAGGCAACTGATCTGCCTCTGGACGAGTGAGCACTCGAAGACCAATTTTCACCTGTACAACAAAATCCAAGATTTTTCAGCAAAACCACAATATGCTCCAACGAAATTCAATAAAGAGCCCGAGAACAGACAGCATAGACTGCAAAAACTCCAACTTTAGGTGCTAACTGTATGTGAAACTCCCAAAGAATTATTTCAACCATTTGGTTTTGGCCAATACTGTTCTCAACTGGTTGGACTTGGTTTTCCACGCCAAAAAAAAGGTACTGGAAAAAACTATCCACCAATGCTGACTTAACTCACAACAAACTCAAATTTAGGCAATGAACAAATAAACATAGAAAAGAAACTGAATACAAATCAAAAGTCCTAATACATGATCTGATCCATCCAACAGCATTCAGCTATCCAAAATGATCTCAAATTGCAGCATTTGGCATTGACAAAATCAAGTTCTATGTACTGCACTTGTATTCAATATAAATGTATCTTCTAATAATACCCAAATCTTTCCAAGAGCTTGAAGGAAAAAACAAGGATCTCTATACTGCCCATTCAAGATAGGGATAGAAGCAATATAGCATCACAGCTTGGTCTCAAAAGCCATGGACAGTTGATCCAAGTATTCACCAAAATGTTACAAGTTATACAATCGGGCAGTTTACAACCACATTATGCTCTTCTTTTGCTTGAGAAACATGCACATACATGTAGTAGGTGAGGACTTACCATTTGCAGGTCACGGCTACCTGATGTACTCTCAACTAAATTAGGTCGCGCACGAACATCATAGATGGTTGGCCTCTCAAACCATGGGATCATCAAATGTGTGCCTTCAGGATAGACCTGCACATAAAAAGTAAAAAAGCAGCATATCAGCACATATAAACATGAATTCATACCTAGAAGGTACAGATGAAGCTTGAGACACAAATGAAAAGCTACAATAGACCATTCAAACCACACCAGAAATAGCACAGACATAAAATGGAGCTAAAGAGATCCATTGCTGCACACAATAAATATTATGCTCCCCACTGGTAAATTTAATGCCCCCTTATTGACATAGCATGAGCAGATGTTTAGAGAAGTCAGCATATGCCATAGTGCTATATCATATAACAAAAAACCCAAGAGGCTATGTATGTTAGCCTGACACCTACAAAGCGCCCCCCATTTTTGTCCTTTAGCACTTCAAATTAGTGATTAGTGCTACAAGGATCGAGAAAACCTACTAAACCATACTCAAAGGCACCAAAGTATCTGCCATTAGACCGCCCAGCTGCCACTCTCAAATCAATTTTCAATCTGTACAACACAGAACCGGTTGAGGATCTCAGTAGTCAAATTAGGGCAATTTAATGTATAATAGAGTTATTATCAACAAAAGCTCATCACCGAATCCTTTACGCATTTTGAACATACACTTATCGAAGCAAAGAGCACCCATAATATGAATTTCTCTCAATAACTTAAGCCAATTGCTCCACACCTTTTTATACAATAAACCATCACTGATCCTCTTCTCAAAACAGATGTTTAAATGAACTTATACAGTATCCTAGCATATACACCACATTATTGCGGAAGATTAATAACAGCATTTGGATCACCCAAAAATTCTCGCCTGTTATAACATTAATAAAAGCTCTGAAGAACAAATTGACAGGCTACAGTACCCAACTTTATGTTTTCATCAACATGGACACATCCATTTACTGAAACACTTAGTACGAGAAGAATTTTGTTCTTCATTGTCCGGAACATTCACAGACAAACATGAGCCCAAGTTAACGTATCACTTCAAGGGTAAAGCAATAAGCTCATAAGGAACCACAACAAGCTTTAACTCCTTTGAATCCCATGAAACCATAATCCAGATAGGCAGAAATATACAGAATTGGCAAGTTTTACTGCCACTCAAGAGAGACTGCAGTCTAAAAACCATTTGATCAAGACACTGATGGCAATACCATACAACATACATTATTCATAAAGGAAATAGTAGCATTACATATAGCAATACTACACCCATATGTTACAAAGGATATCATAGTCTTCAACTGTGAATTTCACACAAACATGTGGCAAAAAGAAATTCAATGTTCAAGAACAAGTCTAAGCTACCCTTCAGCGATGCTTGATTCAGCATACAAAAGATCACACATTTAATCAATGAGAACTGTCAATGACAATAACATTCTTTTCAGAAATATCTGAAAAGGCTGCTACATGAATGTTGCACAAACATACCAAGTACCTAGCTTTGCAGAGTAATTACCAATAGCTATACCTAGGAATAGAATTCCTTATCATTTCCAGAACAGGATACAAAAGTATGCCATGTGCAGTTCTAAACTGCTTCAGTTATATTGCAAATTAATGATACAGCAAACTCATCCTCCTACCATTGTGTAATAAGCAGATAACCCAGCATTGGGGGGAGTGGGGGGTAGGGGAAGGAATTAATGGATTATATATAGGAGGAGGAGAAAATTTGTACAGTAATAAGGAGGATTATATATTACACTAGATCTATACAACATTTACAAGATAAGCCAGACTCCATCCAAATGAGATTGATATGAATAGTGAATAAGTAACTACACAAAATGCACTAAAGCATTGAAATGGAATAAAAAACATCACATCAGCCCAACCTTATCCTTAACACCAACTACACGATTGAAGACAATGGCCCTATGCCCTCCCTCAACATTGTAGAGACTGTTAGCAACTCCATACACGCCAAGCCCAGCAACAAGTCCCAACTTAATCAAGGCAGAAGCCGCACCACCACCAGGAACCTTGGGGACCTTCATGTTGTTGAAATTCATCTTTGCAAATTCTGACAACAAGCAATTTAAGAAATCATCAATGATATCCAGACCGAGCAGAACCATGGAAAATGATTATTAAAGCATTACAAATTGATCATTCTCGGATGGATTTCAGCTGTACAAATGATACTAAACTTATCTACTACCATTTTCATGATCAAGAACCGATTCACAACTCATAAAGCAGTATCTTTTTACATCAAATCAGGAAATGACAATTAGCTTACCAGCATCCAATAACAGAGCAGTGGCAATAAACTACATAGAGAAGTAGAGAATCATAAAACCACAGCTCATATAGCCCAAGGACTGTGACAAGGCCGCCCTAAAACCCAAATCTAATTGACAACAAAGATGAGAAGATTGCATTTTCCCTAAACCATGCTCACAACTCTTAGTCAGTAAAAGATTAAATAAGCCGAACACACAGAATAGCTTAATTAACTCCGGCACAAATGTACTATACCAATTTTGTCGACTATGTTTCTCATGTTACAGAATTATTCGAGCACAACCCATGAACAAAAAAATTTATCTAACTCCCAGGAGAACCAGCACCTCTGCTTCAGCATAAAAAGGGGTTCATACAAACTAGGAATTACAATGAGCCTCCAAAAATTCACCAAAAATAACTTTAACAAGATAAAAGAACATGAGCCCACAACTTATGATTTTTTTCTAAAGCAAAATCACAAGAAAATGAGCCCATCTGCAAATACACTATAGCCATTATTCAGTAAAAATCATAAAAATTGACAGGAGAACAACCTCAAATCACGATAACAGAATAAAAGCATACAGCCGCAGAAAACAACAGAAAAATCAAAACTTTTCACCCTTTTCTCATTTTTGCAAGAACCCCAACATAGAAAATCATTTAAGTCTCCGATAGTTCCTAATAGAAGCAGTATATTATACCCAACAATCGAGGTAAATGTTAGAAACGGAGTAAATAAATGGTGGAATTACCTGCTGTAGACGGTGCAGAAAAGAAGGGTTTTTGGAGAAGACGAAGGCTGAGGGAAAAGAAGGAATACTTAATAGAAGAGGGTTTATGGAGAGAACTTGGAGAAGGGTATACGACTATACGAGTGAGGGGTTTAGTCGGGATAAATTCACATACCCCCCTGAGGTTTTTGATAATTGCAGAAAATTTCCCTCAAGTTATAAAACTTACAGCTACCTCCCCTATTTTCATTGTTTAGGTAACATTCTAGGCCCAAAAGGCTAGAATTTTCTCAAAAATCCTCTAATGCCTTGGGTTATAATTCACAACAAAGTTAAAAGGGAAAACAATAGTTCATTGTCTCTATTTCATTTATCCTTATTTGTTATCACCATTGCCTATCCCCCATCAACATCCAAATCACCATTAAGTCAATACTCAATACTTACTTTTGTTCTAATGTTCCTTTTTTATCTAAAAATTTTCTATGCATACCATTGTATAAACTACAAACGCCACACCAGATATTCAAAAGTTTACCTACAATATCAAAATTTGTTTAATACACAACAATATTTTTCAATATTCTTAAAATTCAATCCATGGTTGTCACTTTTCAAATACAAAACAGTTTAAGTCATCACTACTAATATCAACTTCCAATATACTCCATCCGCACAAAGTTTAAAATCAATCAAATTCTCTCTATAGGAATAACATCATTAATAATTACAAATAAAAATAAAAACAAAATGCAATTATAAATTTATCAAGAACATTTTTTTTCATAAGAACCACAACAGTATAATATTTATTTAGTCCATATTCTACTTCCTATCCTTAAATTTTTTTAAAAAATTTTTTCATTGTCACTGCCTTCATCTCCATCTAATTTGATAATGAAATCATTACTTAACTTGTCATTTAACAATTTCAATTTGCTAATGCCTATAAAAATTAGAAATAAAAATGGACACAAAGAAACTATTTAATCATAATAAAAAGAGAGAATCGGAAATTGACACCAAAATAGGTAAGCATTGGTGGTTGGTATGTATGACGGTTTGGTTAGTGGTAGCAGTACACATTTGATTGATAAGAATAAATAAATAAGTTTGGAAGGAAAATAAATGTGGGAGAAAGAGGATACACAGTTAAATGGGAAAGACTGTAATTTGAATTATTAGTTGACAATAGGTGAGAGAGTTTTAATTTTCATAGAGTTTTTCAATAAGTTAACAATTAAAGAAGGGCATTGTTGTCTTTTTATCATATCAAGGAAGGTTTTTATAATTATGCAAACCTTTGGAGAGCCGAGTGAAATTGTAAAAAATCTCAAGGGCAGTTTTTGAAATTATCCCGATTTTAGTATGAAGAGTCATCGATTTAGGGTTTTTAGTATGAAGAGTCATCGATTTAGGATTTCTGACCCCTTTCACTTATTTTCTTGGATCAGGCTCCCTTCTTTTTTTTTGGTTGGGGGGGGGGGTAACATTTCGATTAAGTCCAAATAAAAAATTCCAATAAGTTAAGAATTTCTAATTTATTTAATGCCTTAATTTTCTATTCCAAAAAAAAGTGCTCGATAATATTTTTTCATGTTGGAGATTTTTTATTCTAGACGCCAAATACACGTGTTGGACACAAACATTTGTGGGTCCATCCAAAAATTTTGAAGAGTTAGCCCATGATTATCTGTGAAGACTGAGCCCAAGATTTTATTTGCTTGATATGTTGAAGCCCTAGTTTTGACTTGTATTGAAAGAATTTTTATTAGGACAATTTGCATTTATTAACTACTCTTATAAAGCTATAATCCATAAGTCAGTCCAAAGTGGTGGTTCTTGCATTATTCAACTCTAGTGATTTTGTAATACTTAAAAAATTTGCTATTAAAAAAGTCAGCAATATTTTATCCAGAGCATTTTCACGTTTTCGTCAATTTATGAACATAATCCGTACGTCTTGACCAAAAAAAAAAACTAGGAATTAATCGAGAGATGCATTAAAACAAATGAAAAGGAAACGAAAGGTGAATTATGTTCAAAAGAATACAAAATTATTCTCAAGGGTAAACGGGATTGATTACACGTAGAAATAGGAAACTTGATCCTAAATTCATGCATGGCCAGTTCATATTCATGGTGGTGAAGAGTCTTATAAAGCTATGATCCGCAGGTGAGTCCGGAGTAGTTGATCTTGCTTTGCCTTATTCTGTTGAACGGGAAATGGTCTTCTTGTCCAAGTAGTTATTCAGGTTCTGTGATGATTCTGAAATACTTGAAAATTTTATTATCAGATGAGGGTTAATTCCACTTTGTCCCCCCAAACTTTGGATGATTACCCACTTTAGTGCCTAAACTTCAAAATGGGACACTTAAGTCCCTAAAACTTATAAATTGGGACACTTAAGTCCCTAAACTTATAAAATGGGACACTTAAATTCCTAAACCCTTATAAAATGGGACACTTCGACCACCACGGCATTCAGGATTCTGTTCACAATTTTTCTTAATTGGGAGGTATTTACAAGTTTAGGGATTTAAGTGTCCCATTTTGAAGTTTAGGGACTAAAGTGGGTAATCATCCAAAGTTTGGGGGGACAAAGTGGAATTAACCCATCAGATGATGCTGCAACATCTTATCCCGAATTTTTTTTTAAATTGAAACTAATTAATTCAGTGAATTTTGGACGAATCAATATTCAGATGATCCCTCCAATACACCAATTAATATACAACGACAACAACAACATGGCCAGGAAGGCCACAATAATTTGTATCCCTCTACTTAGTCAATATATATACACAAATCATGGATTTTTTTTTTTTTTTTATAAGTGGAAGGAAGGTTTTGAACTCAGAATCTCCTACTTAGTATACACAAATTATGCGTTACATTAATTCGCTTATTATATATCCTGAACTAATTACCCCATCCTGGCCATTTTGCTGCAATAATATCCAAGCATGTAATGTGTTACATTAGTTGTCCCTATAGCTGGTTAGCAGATGGTTAGGAAGGCCTTTCATAAAATTAAGAAGCAGATGTTAGGTGATATATCAAGTGTTGATACATTTAAGGCCAATAAATAATAGCTTTGTTGTGTCTTCTGGTATAATAATATCATTGGATAAAGTTTCTTTGTTGTGCATGTCATAGGAATATTATTAAGAACCTTAATTTGCATGGTGGTCTTAGGTGCTTTTCTCTCCTTTACTCCCATTACCTTAATATAGTGGAGAGAATTGGAGAAAAAAAAATCATTAAATCATGATTGTATTTAAGTGGAGAATGCGTTACATCGGAAATGGGACAAAGAAATTGACAGACAGCTAGCTTTTCCGAAGCTACATTATTTGTTCTTTGAATTATTCGGACGCTTGGGTGGAAGCTTTTATTAGACATGAAAGAGACACCTGAGCTGATGAACAGATGAACAAGATGATATTTTCCTGTTTAGTTATCCACTTTCGGCAATGAATTATACCTCTTTCTTTTTTTTTTCTTTTCTTTTTATCCTGTTAAAGTTAATTACAAAACCAACAAGGCGATGATTGAGAACCTAAGAGGATATTTGCATTGTCTTTTTTGAAAGAGTTTTTGTAAAAAAAGATTAAAAAAAATTAAAATTATTGTAGTACTTTTTGAAATGTGATGTACGTAACATAAAAATGTAAATGAAAAATGAATTAAGGAAATATTCAAAAAAAAAAACTCAAAAAAATTCCCCCCTTAAAAATTCGTCTCTTAAAAATGAGGTGTTTTTGATGTTGTAATTAAGACGATGGAAGTCCATTATGTCCTCTACTTGCTTGTATAACAGTGGAATTATTGACAGTCTATGCTGTAGAGGCATCATTGGAGTCTGTCAATTGCATTCATTTCAAGACTGATCATCATACACAAGATCATGAACAGAAGACTAGTGTATGAATTCAATTTGTGACTTCATTAGTGTGTACCAGCCCCTAGTTCTTGATCTCTAATTATAGGTCTCAATTACACCACAAAATATGTACAATATAAAAATTAATGTATGTCATTACATGACACATCCATACTAACATACAAAATTCAAATCGGACAATCTCTTTGTCACCAACCCTATTCTGGGCTTGTTCTCGATTAATTGTTTTAACTTTTAACTGATTATAGATTTTGATTTTGTACAATCAGTTTTTTGTGATTTTTTGAATATTTTTGTATTCTGATTATAGATTTTTTTTAATGATAAAAAAAGCTGAATTTTATAATCACCTAAAAATAGCTTTCACTGATTCTGATTATTCTTTAATAATCAGTTTCTGTAATCAAATTTTGTAAAATCTAAAACAACTGAACACAAGGCCTTTGTAACTAGTTCTAATAACTCTAGAGTGCATGGGTTCTAATTTTTGTACAGTGCATTGGTCATGATGTTTGAAGTTTAGAAAAGGCTAAATGAGCACTAGCAAGTTTACAGTAATTCTTACTTACATATTATTACTAATGACAAGAGTGCTCCTAACTCAAGGCTCAAATCTTTACCAGTTGAGCAATAAGACATTGGCCACCAGCAAGATGGCTGATAGGGAATGAATATAATAGCAGAGGATGTATGACACCAGTGGACCAATGCTCAAAATAGAATAAATCAGAAAGCAAGTAGACAGATCAATCATAAGCATATTGTAAAACTGAAAATGTTCCAAGTACCTACTGCCCTGGTTGAAGCCATGCCTTTTGAGCAGATAGCCATAGCCCATATGCCATGTTTAAGGCCAGTCTGTCAAAAGTTCTACATTGCATATTCTTTTCTTGATTAAATCCCATGTTCTATCCCCTGGTGTCTGAACTAGAGTTGGTAAAGCTGTTGGGTCCAGATCATGTACAGTTTATCGCCAGCCTCAAATTTATACAACTCTGATGTGCAATCATTGACCGGGAGCTTGAGGATAATATGCAGTAGAATTATGGAACATGCGCCCCAGCTGTGGGTTTTGAGCATCATTCAACACTTAGGTGATCTGAAACTTGCGTGATGGAGGAGTGCACTGTTGTTGTAGAGAATAGAGAGTAACTTAAAATCATTATTACCTTAAATCAGACAGCTTTTACGAGAAAATATGCTTTAGTAA